AAAAGTCTTCGTTTCATTAAAAAGAGAATGAAGTCTTTTTTAATAAAAGGTTTTTCTAAATTCACTTCCGTTAAGATAATCTTGCTTTGTAATTACAAATTGACAGATATCTAGTTGCTTTGTAAGAACGTTTATTAATTTTGAAAAAGTGAAATTTTAGAGCTATATAAACAAATGCGATCTCAACCTTTTTAGACCGCCTTTACTTGATAAAATGTATAATAATAGAGAATGAGGAAACACTAATTAGGATAAAATGATTAATGTAATTGTACAATTCGTAATATTGATACGTCTATAACATTGGTATTTCTACAATAATCACATTTGGAGAGTTATTTGGGAATTCTTTAACCGAAAGCAATTAAATATCTTCTTTATAAGTATTAATTAATATGGTTTCGTTAGTCTAACTTAATCTATACAGGAAATTTATTTCTTTGTATCGTATTTTTTCAAATATTGGTCATAAAATGTTTTCTTTGTTTGGCTCTTGTTAAAAGGAAGATGCGTAGATAGAATAAAGCATCTGAAATTGAACAATTTTATTCGTTTTGAAACTTTTTCTGAGGAAAGGAAATATGTCGCATGATCTGGGACATAAATTTACCGCAGAGAATCCCGAAATTAGAGCAATTTCATTTTGTTTTAATAAATGACTTCCGCTTTTAATGAAAACTGCATTCTTTATGACGCAATTATAGTCAGGCCTATTACGATGAACGACTAATGCATCGATTGTATTGTCTTTTAATAGAAAAAAATAGATCAATTTAACATAAAAGGCATCATGCCTTTTATGTTAAATTGATCTATTTTTTCAAAATCCTAAATGTCTCATCTATATATTTATTCAGATATAAAAACAAAAGTGATAAAAGTTAAACGAGATAGATTAAGATAAGTATTAGGTACAACGGAGGTCAAAATTTAAACTTTAAACGTCTCTTTATCTAACGTTTTGAAGTTTGTTTTATTTCTCTCGACCTTCTCCTCCCACTAAGTCTGATTCTATCAATAACACCGTTTTGGTCAGAAGAACTTTCTCGCAACGAAAAGAAGTTTTTTTTCTTCATTTTGTCATTCTCCTGTCCACTATGTTGATTATATACATTTCTGTGGTTCAAGGTGAGAACAGGTATATTGATGAAAATGGTTTAAAACCAACTCTTCAGGTTTTACGTCCAATGCTCCATTGAACTCGTCACTGTAAAAGGTCCAGTATTAAATGTGCCCCATACTGAATATTTTGCCAAATTCTTGATTAAAACCTGACCAATGCAGAATTGTAACATATATCCAAGGTTAAACTAGAATTTAATTCAATGAAAAGGGGAATTAAGTCGACATGTAAAAAATTCCTTAAGAGGATTATCCTCGGATGAAAAGTTTTATATGCATATAGAGATTATCTCAAAAGTAGTTTATAACTTTATTGGAAATTAAAGAAAATATGTAAAAGTAAGCATGGTTTTCATACACCAACAGTAAACGTGTAAAAAAAATATATAAAAAAAGATCCCTTTCTTAGTTTGCAATTTTATACATGAACTTAAAAAAAAGTTAAAGCGTCTATTTAAAATGCAAAATTCAAAATGAACAGAAAAAATCAACTGTCAATGAAAAACGAAATGAATGTTGTTTGTATAAGTTCTTTAGGCATTCGAAAAGATGTCTAATTAATAAATAGAGATTATATAAATGGTAAAAAGAGATCATGAAATAGCACAAAATAAAAAAAAAAAGATTTCTATGATCCAATCACTGTTTCTGTGCATAAAAACTTCAATAATAACAAGCCGAGATTATATTAATCACTAGATTATTACATAAACTGAAATATTTATCAAAAATGTTATTCATGCACACATGTAATCGGAGCACAAAGCACTTGTTTCATGCATTCATGATGATCGTTCATTATTTAGCCATTCTCTTCTAAATTTGGAGTCGACGTCGTAGAATATGTTTCTAAGTACACTCTCGTTTTCCAACATGTCAAATATGCAGGTCTTGATTGTATTCGAACGTTCATTCGCCATATTCAAGAAGATTCCCAAATTATTATTCATTTTATGACATCGACGATTTACCGATGCAGTCTCATACTGTTGATCCTCATCTGATTTGATACCGTTTATTAATTTCACGGAAATTAAACCAGTATTCATCTTTTTTCTTCTTCTTCGCGTTGCATTCCATTAGAAAATAGGTTTCTTCAAGAGTTTTTATTGAATTTTCTACTCAACAGGAAACTAAGCTGTAGACATGAAACAAGACATTGATTCCATAAGCTAAATGTAAGGTGGCACCATCGAGGGAATACCAATGAAGATTTGGTAAAATCTCACTCTTTAAGATTGGACCGGAATTTTTAAAAAAAAATTTCGTTGTCTATGCTAACTGTGACTGTTGGCAATATTATAGGCAATTTGCAAAATTAGCATTTGAAACCATCTGGCAACACAATGTCCCATTGTGCTTCAAGTAACAAAAAAACGAAAGCCTCATAAGATTACCATAAAATTTATAAGGGGCTATATTGCCTTACATTTTTATGTTTTTCGTATGAAGCTGTTTGATTTCAAATAATATTTTAGTTTCAGGGTATCAAGTGAATGGTAAGAAGTGTGAGTTTTCTTTCATTGCACAATAAACCAGTCTGTGTGTTAACTTCGACTTAATTTTAAGATGATCATTGACACGCAATATTCAATATTAATCTCTTGATTCAGATGCTCCAAGCAAAAATTACATCAATTTTCATTTTAAATGTTCCGACCCGTATAATAATAATAATAATAATAATAATAATAATAATAATAATAATAATAATAATAATAATAATAAAATTAGGCTTCCGGTGGCTCATGACTAAGTTCACTGAATAAATGACTGTTAGTAACTACTAAATTTGATGACCATTCTACACTGGTATGAATATACTCGCATGCAGTCATCGTATTTTTGTCTGTCAGGCTGTCGAATTATTTTCTTTCTATCAGGCTTTATAGGCACACACACAAGCGCGTGTATATACACTTCAATATATGTACACGCATACCCAAATGTATAACTAACATGCCTGCATTACGTGATTGCACTAATAAGAAATAGTATAAACACGAGTAATTTCATTAAATATGCAAGAATATAGTTTCTCCAAAAGAGTAGTGTTATCTAAAAATGTATATCACATTTCTCATAATAATAATAATATTTAATAATAATAATAATAATAATAATAATAATTGTAGTAGTAGTAGTTATAGCTATTATTACTTTCGGCCTTTTAATTATCTAGTTCTTGCGGTTTCATTTCTTTCGATGCTTTTTCCTTACGGACGCGCCCCGAATTGGATCACGAGAAAAGACAATAATTTGAAAATCGGAGTCGTTCAATAACGAATTATTCATTATCAGCATGCATACGATAATCTGAAAATGTTTCTATAAAAAGTGCATTCATAGCACTTCAAAAATGATTTTCTTTAATGATTTTTTCGTCTGTCATTTGTTGAACTGGTTGCAGCTTTGAATAACGTAAGATTCTTGTCCAAGTTCCAACTGTGTGTTATGGTTTGGCGGCGGCAGTAACAGCAGGGCTTCGTTTTGGTGCCATACAATATTTTGGCACCAATTCTGGACCCTTCCTCTATCCAGACGCACTCACACGCAAAACTTCACAATGACAGAACAGAGAGATACAAATATTAGAGAAGGACAAAATCTGTTGAACCGAAGCATAAAAAAAAGAAAGAAAGAAAAAAGCCAAGCAAATAAATGCAAAGCGAAAAAGAAAGAAAAAATCCTAAATAAGATGTTGATATCCTTATTGTCATTATTGCAATTTCAATCAATAAAATTTAGTATCAAATCAAAATTTAGAATTATAACTCAAACTTCATTCTCTACTCCAATTCATTCCGACATCTAAATATATATATATATATATATATATATATATATATATATATATATATATATATATATATATATATATATCTGCAAGTGTGTGTATGGGTATGTATAAATGCATATGTGTGTATGTTATTAACCTGATGTACATATTAGTTTACTGGGAAATTTGGAACACATATTTATACAATACACAGCCCATGTATAATTCTTCCAAAGTAATTTAATACTGAAACTTGTGAATGTGTAAATATATTTACGTTTGCTTTTGAGTGTGTACTCAAATTAGTGCGTTTATGTAGATACGTTTTTGCAGTACACACGCTCACACACACACACACACACACACACACATATATATATATATATACATACATACATACATACATACATACATACACGAGGGTAAGTCAAAAATTATCCGCACTTTCGTTATAACATATCTTACATATCATATAAGAGTACGGATAATTTTTTACTTCCCCGCGCGTGTATATATATATATATATATATATATATATATATATATATATATATATATATATATATATATATATTTGTGTGTGTGTATGTGTATGTTTCTCTCTAAACCATTTTGTCAATATCAGAAGTGTAGAAATAACATGTGCAGTTCCTATGAATGATGAAATAATGAAATTAAACTTGACTAGTTTTCGCCTGTTAATTCTTTTCATTCTTTTGCGCATACATCCACACATGCGCGCGCTTAAACATGTTTTCTGACGGATACATTGATATGTTGTTTTAGTAAACAATTTAAATCGAAATTAAAACGCCATCACTTCTTTTCATTCTATTTCTTATTGAATAAAAAAAAAAACGAAGATAAAAAATAAAAGAATTAAATAAAACTAAGTCTGCCAACTGGGTCCAAAGCCCATGTTTGAATTTGTATTTTTGTATTTCAAGGATATTTCAAATAAGGGCCGTGGTTTTTGTTTCCATCAAGTGTATAAAGCTAAGATGTGTATTTATTTTGTTGCCAGATATGCTTGTATCACTTGGATCCATTTTCATTGATGTGTTTTTTTTATTTTTAAAAATTATAATGGCTAATTCTCTCAGGAGGCTGCGTCTGGATTTACATCTGGTTTTCGCAAAGGCTCAATGACCAAAATTACCAGAGATGAGAGGAAAGAACCAATAAGAAACAACCAAAATAAAAAGCGGTCCATGACGAGTGCGACTAATCGCCATTCGAGTACGATTTCTTCATGGTCATCGGCCTCTTGTCGCGAGACGAGGATTTTCAAGTGTCTGGTGATTCGTTCTCCATTCTGCTCGCCTCCCAGACCACTGCAGCCGCCGCCTTTGTCGGACGCCATATTTAAGGCGTTAGTAGAGGCGATAGTGCCGTTGCAATTGGCTGGGTCGGTCGTGCAGGTGCTGTCCACGTATGTGGTCAGACACATGTCCTCTCGGGGGATGTTGTCTGTCATGGTGTATCTCCGCCAAGGTTCGCGCCGGCCGTGCGTGGAAACGCACACCAGACGGGCAAGAAAGTTGAAGCTCAGGATTTTTAGCCATCTTGCCACTGGCTTTTGCTGTGGTCCCACGTGGTGCAGTTGAAGAACGAACACAGTCAGGATGATGGACAACGACGTCATACCCATTGTCACCGTCAAATAGATGCCTGAAAAGAAAAGATAAATTGCTTCATTATACATATCGTGACAACTAAAACATGAACGATACTGCATATTTTATAGACATATAAAACAGAGTTTGAAAATAATGAGGTCCAATTTCTAGTTGAATATTCAGAAACCGATTCATGATAGCAAAATTAAATAGGCAACATCGAATAACAGTTTGTTTCTGACTGTTAATATCTATCAGCAATGGCACATTTCGAAACACAAAATTAAAGATTTACTTCTCTAGTCCATAGATTGAGAATCTGAACTGCGAACATGTATGAAACATATATATATATATATATATATATATATATATATATATATACATACCGGATGTAACAACAAAATTCTCCAAATCGTGTAACAGCCTAATTATCTATCCCACAAAATGTTTAATATCTAAAAAATACTAAAGTAATTGAGCTTTCTCTAGGTTTTCAGATAGCCATCTTGACACCATTTTTTGTAAGAATCAATGAAAAACCCTTTGAGTTATTCACCAAAAAAAGCAGGTTAAAACTGTTTTGTGTCAGACCCACTGTCTTGCCATATGAGCAATAGTGAGAAAAAAGATCATTCCGGCCTTTAGTAATGGTAGCAATATTTATACTCTGGCTTCAGTCTTCAAAGTCCATTCAAGATCCATCAAGAGAACGATGAATAAGTTTTAAAAAGTGATAACAGTAGAGAGGAAAACTGGAGTCACAACAGGTAGAGGGATCATCATTTCAACTTAGAGCTAAATAGATCAATTAGAAAAAATCCATTTCAATTTATAAGATGTTTGGCATGTGAGAGAGGAGTTTCAGATATGACAGGCTAAAGTGCAGGGAAAAAGACTTGAAAATGAAATCGTACGTGAAAACTCTGAGGCACCGATTTACTCCAGGACAGAAAGCTAGAAGGCTAGAAAGAGCGAAGATAATATAAATAAGTTGGAAAATGATCCTGGATTAATATATATATATATATATATATATATATATATATATATATATATATATATATATATATATATAAGTATATATGTATTTGAACTTTATTTCAATACTTCATGAGTATTATTATTAGCTGTAATTAATCATTTTCGTTTATGATCGATTTCGTTACGATACTTCTGTTAAGTCATAAAAATCCCTCTGTCTGTCGTTCTGTCTCTCTCACTCGTTCACTCACACACGTACGTAAATGCATACACACAATACATAAAACTACCATTATGATTTTCACAATTTCACAAAGCTTGTTTCATCATACTAATTTTAATAATAAATTGTAAAAGTTTCAAATTTGACTATGCCAATTTTCAATTAAAAATATTTTAGTGTACTCATGAGTTATCACTTAAAGAATATCAAGCTATAGTTTTTAAGAAGAAAAAAAAACTTATTAACGGTTTTCAAAGAGTACCATTAACTGTATTTTTATTCTATCTTTAACATACATTAGATATTTTTTAAACATTTGATATATATTTAACTTCAAAGTATTCTTTGGAGAAGTGTTGTGAAGGATTAAAAAGCATTGTGGGATATGTGGGTAGTGTAATGCATGTGAGCGCAGAAAGTGAAATCGGAGAAACGAATTCAAAATCCAGTAAAAGCTTCTTCTTTCTTTTAGCAGTAAGTTTGGCTCTATAGCCATGGATGACAGCAAGTCAGGCTATGTACACATGGATGTCAGGAAGTCTGGCTCTCTAGCCATGGATGGCGGGAAGTCTGGCTCTCTAGCCTTAGATGACAGAAAGTTTGGATCTTTAGACTTAGATGGCAGCAATTTGGGCTCTCTTGCCATAGATAACACTTCGAAAAGTGGCACACCCAAACTGAAAGAGGAAAATAATAAAAAAAAAATTCAGTTTAACCCACAGGTAATTTGTTAGTTTGACATTTTAAATGATTTTCCTTATGACCACATGCAAGAGGATGGTTGCTTTATTGATGTTATTTACAATTAGAATTGCTGTTATTTTCAAAATTATTTACACAAGAAATATATCTATATAAGAAGATACTGAGGTCAGCAACGACTGGTGACAGTATTTTATGCTTCCACGCAATCTTCAGGTCTGGTATTTTAGTTTCATGATAGTCTGAAGTTATGCAAAAATTATAGATAATTATAAACTGTCGATAAAAATACCTTATTTTTGTGACGTGAGTCATTGAAAGGCAATTGACTACTTATATAAAATCCCTAGATGGCTGCCAATGCAACTCCAACTTGAATAAGATTTTAACTTGGAACGTGTGAAATCGAAAAAGTTCAAAATGTTTGTTCTTCTACATTTGGCCTTAGGAACAACGCTAATCTCTTAATTGTTAAATTGGTTTGATAATTATTTATTTTTGCCATTCTCACTGTTTTGTTTTATTCTATTTAACCGAGTTAAACTGGAATAAAAAAAATGACAAAAATAGTTTCCCTATTTCATTCCTTTGCTTACAACCATACCAATTAATATTCAGATAAAATTAGATGATAGTTTAAAAGTAAGCTTAATAAACCTATCACTTGAGATTTAACCTCGAATTGTCTGGCTAAGATACAAACTTGTATGTTTGTATCTTAGGTATATTTATTTTGTTTGATTGTTGTTGAAAATATTCAGTGATCTCTTGAACATATCAGTTTTTTTTCATAACCAGTTTTTAGTAAGTCTAGTCTAATAAGTAGAGTGCCGCTGACAGAGTCTAATGAATTGGCTTCAGATAATCTTGCAAACTTTGTCAGTTAACTTCTAATATTATAGTAATATAAATGAAAATAAAAACAAATATTGTAAAGCAGGCGTATCTTAGTGATTTGGGAGTACGAACAGTTTAATTAAGAAACTGCTGATTGTTATAGTCTAAGTTTGATATCACGAAGAGGTAGCTTATTGAAAAGCCGTCGTTTAAAAATGAACCTTTATTATATAGTTAACAAAATATTACAAAACAATATTACAAAATGCTTCATTTACGAATTTGTTTCAGTTTTCTAACTTTTATCTGATTAATTCATTTAAAAATATTACCTTGATGATATATTTTGGTTGAAATATTTGTGATGGATATATATAATATTGACCGAATGAATCGAGTTTACTTATGATTTATATTATTGGCTATATATCGAAATGAAAATATGCAGAAGTCACTATCAATAACTTATGAGATCAGGTGGATTTCCTATTAATTATAAACAACTGTCTTTTGAAAAATACTCATTTTTCACATATAGTGTAGCAACAGTCTCCCAAAGGTTGACGACTGTTTGCTTGCCATGAAGTGTGAGAAACAAGATTTTGCTCGCGTATTAACTTTATTATTATAAACTTATTTTGTATGATCAGACATCAGACTTCAATGTTAAGTTTACATAAAATGTGTTTTTCTTGACATTTTCTTCAGCCATAGCACTTTATTGATTATTATATCAAATTCTTTGCATGAAATTGTTTGTACTAAATACAATAGAAAAGGCTTATTAGAAAGACATTAGAATTATTACCAAAAAAAAAAAAAAAAAAAGATATCGAATCTTACATCAATAAGTGATAACGATAGTCCGATTATATAATTCAAGAAGTTTTGTAAAGTTATAATGCGTCAGATTATTTTTATTAATGGTAAAAACGGTATTAAGTTTCTTTAGACATTAAATGATTTTGGTAAAAAGCATATGTGCAATAAACATAAGATTAATGTTGACACTCAAAATATATTACTACTACTATTAATACTACTTTTTCATACATATATACTCGGTGGAGAAAACTATTCGTAGCGTTATTTGTAAATAGATTTATTCAAACACCTAGATCCCATTTTGTCTCATTCGCTTTCTTTGAGGCAGCTTCAGGATTTTACCTTCATTTCAGTTATTACATTTCTGTAGCTCAGATCTTTCATTTTTTCTTTGGAAATCAGGCCATTTTTCAGAAATAACTTGATTAATTTTCAAAATATAAAGGAAAAAAGAAATTATGAAAACTTTAGAAAATTAAAATTATTCATACAACATAAAATGTTACCTATTTTCTTTAGCGTTGAAATAATCTTTTCCTAAGATTCTCAGACAATATTGATGAGACATAAATTCAAATCTCTTCAACTCCAATTATGATTCTCATATTACGAAGGACGATGCGATAATATGGCTGATTATTTATTTGTAGGGAAACGGCAACATAAGGAATATAACACCACTTATGAATTGAGCAAGTTTTTACCTACAAAACACTATTTTCTATTTTTCACAATAGCGATGGTGTTTTGAAGAAGACCATCTTTTATCGACATAAATGTGACTTCTCACGGATATTGCTGTTGTCTCGCAAATGAAGCACATTCCCCATCTACTATTTGGGCCCCGTAAGCGTTAATCAAGCGTTGATGAATATCAATGGAAGCAATTTTTCGCAATGAGGAATTCCATGACAAACTGCTGTTTCGTATGCACCTTCGAGTCAGAGGCTATTTTATAAGGCCGTCTGTCGGCTTCTATCTGTAACAAGGCAAAACATACGTTATTGACGAGAAAACTGTCAAACTTTATTATACATGTCAAACTTTTTACAATAAAATTGGTAGCGATAATAAGACTAAAGGAAAAAGTTATTCAACTACGCGCTTCACTCCTTATGGTAGGTGTCCTTAAGTTGGAATGAGATAAACATATGTGGGAAAAAAGGATGTTGAAATATAGGAAACAGGTAATGTAAATCTTTATCAGATGCTGTGTCAGAGATTATTATTTCGTACTGATATCATACATGAATCCGATGTGAGGCAGAACGCAGCGAATTTTTACCTCAGACGAGGCTCATATACAATATCATCAATCATCGCAAATATATTAGTAACACTATGCGGCATACAAACTAACAGAGAAAGAAAAGATCTACACTGATTAGCCTCAAATTCAGTGGACATTAGTGGCTTCAGTACATTAACACTAACCGCAGTATCTGATAAGAATCTTTATTAAGTCTTCAACACATTTCATCGCACTTTTCTGTCTATCTCTCATTCTAGCCAGAC